CGCACACACACGGGGGCTGCCGCACACACACACACACACACACACACGGACTGCCTCACACACACAGGGACTGCCTCAACCCCACACACACCACACAACACCACGGGACTGGCCTCACACACACCACCAGACCACACACCACCACACCACAGGGGACTGGCTCCACACACACACCACACCACAGGGACTGGCTCCACACCACCACACCACAGGGACTGGCTCACACACCACACACACACACACACAGGGACTGGCTCACACACACACACACACGGACTGGCTCACACACACACACAGGGACTGGCTCACACACCACACCAGGGACTGGCGCTCACCCACCACACACCACCACACACACCAGGGGACTGGCGCTCACACACACACAGGGACTGGCTCACACACACATACACAGGGACTGGCTCACACACACACACAGGGACTGGCTCACACACACACACAGAGACTGGCTCTCACACACACACAGGGACTGGCTCACACACACACACACAGGGACTGGCTCACACACACACGGCTCACACACACACAGGGACTGGCTCACACATTTTAAGTGAAGGAAGAAATCAGGAGTTCTTTCCGTTTTTGCCAATTGGAAACTCTAAGAAAAAGGCTACAGTGTTACATTAATGTTTCACACTCCAACCCCCTTTTCAAGTGAAATAAAGAATATAAGGGAAGCCAGAAACATGCTGAAGATTTTGGCAGTGAAGGGTCTGACCACAGAGAAAGCCAATGTGCCACTTGTGTGGCTCTTTGCAGAAAGAGTAAACAGCCTTCCTGCAAAGCACAGGCTGGAGAGGGTTCCATTTTCATGGCTGATTGTGCAGAATTGGCTTAGGCTGCATGCACTGAGCAGATCATGGGGTCTGAGCAGAGTGAGCCTGGGCTCCAGAGCAGACAGCGTCTCCCGCAGACACGGGTGAGGTAGGTGCATGCCATCTCCAGAGTCGCACAGGGCTGTGGGTAGGTGGCCACTAGGGTAGCTCACGCATAAAAGTTGCTTTGTATCTGCAGCATGCAGAAGACTTAAAGAAAGATCTGTAAGACAAAGCAGTGCTAAGTGTGTCATTTAGGATGAAGTATAAAGATGAAGCAGTGCTAAGTGTGTCATTTAGGATGCAGAAGAAGCAGAACAAGGCAGGTATAGCCTTCATTTTACAAGTGCTGCGATGATGGTGCAGGACACCATGGGGAGCGGGAGGATGCCTCCCTTCCTCGCGGATCTTCCCTCCGGAGCCTCACTACCGTGCTGCTCTGCCCACATGCCCTCACGCCCAGGCTAGTTTCCACTCAGCCAGAGGCAGTGAAGATTGGATCCACTGATGGCAGCATCTTGGAAACAGGAAACTGACAGGCCTCTGAATATGCCATCCTAAAATATGACTGTCAGGGACCAGACTATACACCCCAAAATGTGACTGTCATAGACCAGACTATATCACCCCAAAATGTGACTGTCATAGACCAGACTATATCACCCCAAAATATGACTGTCATAGACCAGACTATATCACCCCAAAATATGACTGTCAGAGACCAGACTATATCACCCCAAAGTAAGACTATCAGAGACCAGATTATACACCCCAAAATATGACTATGAGAGACCAGACTGTATCACCCCAAAATATGACTGTCAGAGACTAACCAGACCACGCCTCCAACACATACCTCTTTGGATCATTTGGAGCTGGTTATTTTGAGAAACTGCAGACACAGGAAAACCTTTAAAAACACAGACTTACCATTTTGTACAAAGGAAATTGACGTCCATAAAGGAACAGTCCACTTGCAAGGGTGTCTTCCTCTCTGCACCAGGGAGAGAAGAACAACCAGATCTCTAGACTCCTGAACCACGGAGAGGGTTTTTCAGCCTGAAGTTTACCCATCTGAGATCAACTCCAGAGACACACTCAGTTCTCTGGGCGTCTCCCAAGTACACACGAGCTACACATACTAATAAACTTCGTTTGTTTTTCTCTTCTTCCTCTGTCTTTGTTATAGGGAGTATCAGCTAAGAATGTTGGAGGGCAGACAGAAAACTCGTCTTCTCTCCTACCGGAGCAAGTGTGTGTTCCTCTGCACTGATGAATGTGCCTGTCTCCAGAAAGGGCACCCGTAGGTACTGAGAGCAGAGGTGGAGCTTCTAAGAGAGCAGTGATAGCTTCACTCCTCCTCCCAGGCCCACCCTCACCCCGTCCCCTGCACCTGGAGCCACTGGAAGACAGAGGAACCATCCTTTAAGAACCTCCTGGAGGACTCCTGAACCCCATGGGGACATGGCACAAGGCTGGAGAGCAGCTCTGTGGTGAGGGGAGGAAAGAAGATAATCCCATTTCCTCCCAGTCTAAAGAATGGGCATCCCCAGGGGAAGGAGACAGCAGAGCCTCGGCCATGTATAACCCTCTGAGAAGTCAACTGGACTGTGATTAGAAGTGGCTGCTACATCAGCCCAAAGTTGACTTTCAGCAAGGTAGGTTTGTGCAAGTTAAAGCAGTGACAATTGATTTAGACAAGGTTAGCCTTAAGTCTTTTAAAAAATGCTTTTGCATAAGATCTCACTTAATCTTCATTGCGGTTCTTGTAGAAAGGAATCAGAACGTAAGGCACCAGTGTAAGGTTGGAGAGCTGTTATATTATGGAGCTAGGGTTCTGACCTAGCTGGCTTAACAAGGAGGGTTTAATAAAGACAAGGAATCTTCGAGCCCAAATACAAGCAAAGCCAGCCGATAAAGATCTGCTTCCAGATCTTAACCCTCGAGGAAGGGAAATGTTTAAAATTTTCCTAAAATCAAAATTGACAAGACAAATCCAAAGAAAACCGTGTCTCATCCAGTGTGGCCTCAGGTCCAAACGCATCCCCTGAACCTGGTGCATTCGCCTTTGGGTACATTCAGTAAAGGAGCCACAGTCTCAGAATATATAGGGTGCTATTTTTGTTGGGAGCAGGGGTGGAGAAGTTGCCTCGAAATATATGCAGATTAAAAATGTATATATTTCAAATGTATTTAACAAAATTTATAACTAGGTAAATATTCCCTTCTATCTGCAAAAGAAAATGTAGAAATTATCCACAAAGAATTTAGAGCTTCATCTATTTTTAGAGGAAGAAGCTGTTAGCATGCTGTGTTCAGAATAAATACATTCAATTAAGTTAATAAATTAATCATGTAATCTTTGATTAAGATTATCGTCAATGAAATATAACTACACAAATAGTGTAGCTGATGAAGGGAAATGTTCGACTATAGCTTTGCTTATTGCAATGAAAAGGATGATCTGGATGCCCTCCTGAAAACCTTGTGAAACCTGTGACTATCCTCTTCATGCAAGTCCCTCTCCCCGCCCCCGACTGGGAAGTCAATGATTTACCAAACACAGCACGCAGCTGGTCCATGGCAAAGGCAGCAGGAACGCAGCACTATCTGCCTAAAGATGGTAACCTGCTTATGGGTGGCCATGGTCCACAAGTCACCAGTAGCTTCGGCACACGGGGCTATCTTCTGGAATGACCAGGCATCCCTACATAGGCCAGAGTCTTCCTGCACAGGCCCAGGGCCCTAAGGCCGCACAGGTGCCCGAGGTCCAGTCTGCAGATATGTTGGGATCAAGGGACTGCGTGTGCTTCTGCTAAGTCAGTGCTTCTCATACTGTTGGCAGGCACCAAGATCACTTAGAGAGCCTGTAATTCCTCAGGAAATGACCTTCAGGCCTCTCACAAAAAGTATTAAAGAACTGAAACCAGATCACCACACCAGATGCCCAACCAGATGCCCAACCCCTCATTCACCATGATCGATTCCTTGCCCCTCCCAAGTTCCTGCTGTTTTCTTTTTCTTTTCTTTTCTTTTTTCTTTTTTTTTTATTTTTTTATTTTGATGGAGTCTCGCTCTGTTGCCAGGCTGGAGTGCAGTGGTGCAATCTCAGCTCACTGCAACCTGCGCCTCCCAGGTTCAAGCTATTCTTCTGCCTCAGCCTCCCAAGTAGCTGGGACTACAGGTGCACGCCACTACGCCCAGCTAATTTTTGTATTTTTAGTAGAGACAGGGTTTCACCATCTTAGCCAGACTGGTCTCAAACTCCTGACCTTGTAATCTGCCCACCTCTGCCTCCCAAAATGCTGAGATTACAGGTGTGAGCCACTGCAACTACCCTAAATCACCGAGCCTAGCCCTGTTTTCTTATACATTGTTACATTTCTTGCCTGCTATATAAACTCCTGGTTTTGATCAGTCAAGGAGATGAATTTGAGACTCAGCTGGCATGTCCTCAGCTGCAGCACCCTATTAAAGCCTTCTTCCTTGGCAATACTCATCATCTCACTGATTGGCTTTCTGTGCCATAAGCAGCAGGACTGAGAGCAACCCCCTGGTGTTTCAGTAACAATTTTCCTACTCTTTTTTTTTTTTTTTGTAGAGACAAAGTCTTGCCGTGTTGCCCAGGCTGGTTTCAAACTCCTGGGATCAGGTGATCCTCCTACCTCAATCTCCCAAAGTGCTGGGATTACAGGTATGAACCACCATGCCTGGCCCCCTAGTGAAATCTAAAATTGCAATACTCTTTTTTCTCACAGCTTTCTCATGCCATTAATTCTCTCTTCTACTTCTCTAAAAGCTTTAATCTACTTCACTGTTCCTAATATTTTAGTTTTTGTCTGACTACACTGTCTTGCCTACCCCATATTTGAACCACTTTTTTGCTACTGCCCCCAGCCCCTGTTGCCCTAACAGACCCCCCAGTCTTCTCAGACCCGCACAGTGGAGATGAAGCCTGTAGTCACTGCCTGTGCTGCGCGAAGCAGGCCAGGAGCCCACAGTTGTCCTTAAAGCCCTCGTGTTTGTGGTGTTCACCTTAGACAGGCCTTCGCCCCTGACCTCATTTATCTGTTCTCGCTCAGCTTCTGTAGGGGAGAAAAAGTAATATCTTCTCTTAACCCGCTGCAACATGGATGACTGAGACCCCAGAACAAAAGACCAATTAGCAAAAGAAAATCATGCAAATTTATTTCATCAAAGTTTTACATAACCCAGGAGCCTTCAGAAACGAAGGCCCAAAGAAACAGGGAAAACTGTATTTTTATGCTTAGGATTGATGAAGAGTGGACAGTCCTGTAGAAGGATGGTTGGACAAAGGGAATATGAGCTAATGAGAATCACCTGGGGAGAACTTGGCAAGGCCAATTTGTTCAGATTGTGCTTGGCATCTCTGGGTCTTCATTCCTTTTCTCTAGGTATAGGGAGGAGGAACCGCTGGAATGAGGGTCTAATGACCTATTTTAGAGGAAGGTCAAATAATTATTTTAGGACCTGCTTTGGAGGAGAACAGTGGGAGAAGGTCAGAGAGATCTCCCTGCTTCTGCCCCGCGCTCCCCTTCCCCTCTTTCGTCTCCAAGGGTCCCTGCCCTTGTTCACCTCCTGTGCTCTCGCAGTCCTCCACGATCATACTCAACCCATTAAGCCTTTTTCTCCTCTCTTCTGGCTTGTTCTCCCCAGACATCCCCGTAAACCTTTCTTAATAAATCCTTCTTTCTCCACCCTGTGTCTACCTCTACTTCCAACCATTTTTTCTCCTTATTTAATTCACCGTCTTTACCTACATGCTTATTTTATGCATTAATTATTACAAAATTATATTTTCAGCCCCCATATTTTCCTGAAGCTCTTTTGCAACTGTTGTAAATAATCTTCTAGCAGCCAAACCCCTTTTTCGTTCCCTCATTATGGAGGGTTTATACTTACTAAGCAGTCCCCACTTTCACCACTGAGCTGGCATTGGCGATACGACAATGAACAAGATACAAACGGCCTTTACCCTTATGGAGCACACAGTCTGCGGTAAAGAAAGCAACAAGACAATCAATTACAGAGCAGCCTGGGTAGCATAGGGAGACCTCATCGCTGCCAAAAAAAAAAAATACCAAAAAAATTAGCCAGGCATGGTGGCGCATGCCTGCAGTGCAGCTATTTGGGAAGCTGAAACAGAAGGATCATTTGAGTGGGGGAGTTTGAGGTTGCAGTGAGCCATAATCACGCTACTGCACTCCAGCCTGGGCAACAGAGTGAGACCTTGTCTATAAAATAATAATAATAATAATAATAACCAATTAAATTACAGCATAACAAATGCCAGGATGGAGAAATAAAGGGAAACTGTGGGTGCAGAGGAGGGAGGTCTTTAAGGCAGATCAACTCTCTTTGGCATTTAGTTGTTAATACTGTTCTCCCATGTGGCTTGTAGGACCCACACTGTCCTGAGACTTCCACCACTCCTACTTGGTTTTATTTTTTTTCACTACTCCATTTCCCCAACTATCTTTAAAATGTTCATGTTCCACAGGACTTTGTCATTTACACACTCTTTCCTTCTCTTTCTAGAGGCTTCCTTGAGCATGTTCAGTGCTTGAAAACCTGATGAAACTGACATCCATCTCTAGCCTGGAGATGTTCTCTTGCACACTCAGCTATATGATGGGCTCCTCAAACTCAAAAGGCTCGGGAACTGAGCTCATTATGTTTCCTCCCAGTCCTTCTCCTATTATGTTTCCTACTCTAGTTAATGAAATTTTCACCTCCCTATTTGGAGCAAGTCAAAAAACTGAGAGTCAACCTATATTTCTCACTTTTACTTATTCTCCACCTTCACTGGAGGCTGTACCACTTACGAGCACATACTCTAAAGCCAGATGGTGTGGATTGAATCACAATTCTACCATTTGCTAGAAGAGTGCCTTAGGTAAATTACTGCATAGCTCTGTGACTCTGTTTCCTCATCTGGGAAGTGCATTATTAAGAATCTGGCTGGCCTTTGTCCCCAGGTTTTGGGAAGTCACTTCTAAACCCTTGGCATTTCCCATGCTCTAGGAGTGTCTTTGTAATTCATTGGGGGGCTCCTGGGACCACACTTGATAGTTTACGTGAACACGATGACTTGGAATGGAGGCTGCTCAAGGCAGAAAGACCAACCATGTGATTGGGGGTCGAGGGCTTTGAACCAGAGGTCTGACCTCTGAGGAGGAGAGGGGCCAAAGACTGAGACACATGGGCAATGATTCGATGAATCATGCCTATGTAATGAAACTTCAATAAAACTCACAAGAACTCAGGGGAACTTCCCTGGTTGGCAGTTTCCTCTGTGCCAATGCACAGTGGCAATCCACACACTGATGTGCTGGAATGGTAGCATGTCCTGAGGACAAGGGCAGCTTCACAGCTGGAACCCTCATAGATCCCTTTCTGTGCATCTCTCCCTTTCGCTGCTTCTGAAGTACATCCTTTTACTGCAATAAAACTGTCATCATAAGTATAATGCCTTCCTGAGTTCTGTGAGATGTTCTAGAAAATTGTTGAACCTCAGGGAGTCTGTAGGGACCCCTGAATTGGTAGCCAGCTGGTTAGAAGTTAGGGTGGTTCTGGAGGCCTCCAAACTTGCAGCTGGTGTCTGCCATGAAGGCAGTCTTGTAAAGAACCGTGCCCTTAACCTGCGGTTTGGCCTAGCTCCAGATAGGGAATTGATGACAATAACTCCTAATCCATATGGTTACTGTGAGAATTAAATGAGCTAATAAGATAAAGCCTTTGAATAGTAACTGTCGTAAGTAACAAATGAAAATTACCTATTTTTATTTTTATTTGTTTATTTTTATAGACAGGATCTTGCTCTGTTGCCCAGGCTGGAATGCAGTGGCACAATCGATCATTGCTCACTGCAGCCTCAACCTCCTGGGCTTAAGTGATCCTCCCACTTCAGCCTCCCAAGGAGCTAGGACTACAGGTGCACACCATCATGCCCAACTAACCTTTTAAAATTGTATTTAAAAAGGTTAGAGACGAGGTCTCACGCTGTTGCAGGCTGGCCTTGAGCTCCTGACCTCAAGCGATCCTCTTCAGCTTCCCAAAGTGCTGGGTTGATGTTACCTATCTTTTTTTTTTTTTTTTAATTTTTTTAAATTTATTTATTATTATTATACTTTAAGTTGTAGGGTACATGTGCATAACGTGCAGGTTTGTTACATATGTATACTTGTGCCATGTTGCTGTGCTGCACCCATCAACTCGTCATTTACATCAGGTATAACTCCCAATGCAATCCCTCCCCCCGTCCCCCCTCCCCATGATAGGCCCCGGTGTGTGATGTTCCCCTTCCTGAGTCCGAGTGATCTCATTGTTCAGTTCCCACCTATGAGTGAGAACATGCGGTGTTTGGTTTTCTGTTCTTGTGATAGTTTGCTAAGAATGATGGTTTCCAGCTGCATCCATGTCCCTACAAAGGACACAAACTCATCCTTTTTTATGGCTGCATAGTATTCCATGGTGTATATGTGCCACGTTTTCTTAATCCAGTCTGTCACTGATGGACATTTGGGTTGATTCCAAGTCTTTGCTATTGTGAATAGTGCTGCAATAAACATACGTGTGCATGTGTCTTTATAGCAGCATAATTTATAATCCTTTGGGTATATACCCAGTAATGGGATGGCTGGGTCATATGGTACATCTAGTATGGCGATTCCTCAAGGATCTAGATGTTACCTATCTTTAGAATTGTTGCCTCGCATTAGTGTGAACAGAGCCCATACACATGAGGAGTCTGCATTCCCAGGGTCTTCCCAATGGGCCTCCACTGGGTGCCCATAGAGAAGAATGGTACATGGCAGAAAAGCAGAGAGAGAGAGCACACAGAGATCCCCACCTCCTTTCTGGGCCTTTCTTTCATACAACACAAAAGCATGAGGCTACTGTGGGTGGGCAGGTAATCCTTTTGTCCCCCGAGGTTTGCAAAATTTGTTTGTTTGTGGTAGGGTAGTTAAAAGCAAAAGCCATCTGCCCCTGGATCATGCCCCATATAAAAGAGAGGTCTGCTACCATTGGGCGAGGAGCAGGAAGCTTTCTCCAAAAGACCCCCACAGATACAAGCAGAGTTTGACTATGAGACAAAGGCAGAAATACTGGGAAAATCCCATACGTGAGGTCCAGGCTAACAGGAATAGCCTAAGATTGAGGCTAGACCAGGAGAATAAAAAAAATGCCCCTTCCACACCTCAAGTCCTTCATGGGGAAATAAGCAACAACAGTTGTTTACTCTTGGGTGGGAGGAATCGAATGAAAAGAGAGATATGTTTTGTAGTGCAGGCATTCAGGGTCTGCCAAAAGATGAAGGTGAAACACTAACACTGAGAAAATCTCCCCAGCACACCAGGTTCTTCACTAGTACCAGGTGTCAGAGCCCACGACTGGAAGAACTTAAAAGTTTGAACTAACTGTGGTTATAGCAGCAACAAAACCCAAACTCAACTCAAACCAAACTTCCACACAAGTGGCCTGGCAGAAGTATGCCTATTTCTGGACATAAAACATTTCAAAAGTTCCTTTATTACTACTGTTCCTCTACACACAATGTCTGATGGTTAATTTAAAAAATACATATATATATGAGGTGAAAACCAAGAAAACATCCAACTCACCATCAAGGAATAAAGTAATCAACAGAATAAAGGCCCAGAGATGAAGAAGATGCTAAAACAATCAAACAGGAACTTTAAAATAACCTTGATTAGCACAGGACACGACAAGAAGATCAACTTTCATCACTTCTATTTAAAATGTATTTAAAATCTTAAACAGTAAAATAAGACAAGAGACAGAAAAAAAAGGCACACAGACTTATAAAAACAAAACTACATTCATTACCTGACTGCACAAAAATTCCAAATAATCTTTTTAAAATGCTATTGGAATAAGTGAATCTAACAAGGTTGTAGAAGTCCAAAATATAAAAATCAAATGTCTTTTTATATACTGGCAATGAACAATTGGAAATTCAAATTTTAGGAGGCATCATTTATACTAGTACCAAAAGCATGAAATGTTTGGAGGTAAATCTAACAAAAATGTGTAAAAAATATTGTGAAAATTACAGAATATTGATGACGGAAATTAAACTACACATAAAAAATAAAGCAAACTACCATGTCATGAATAGGAAGATTCAATATGGCTAAACTTTTAGTTCTTCCCAAAGTGAGCTATAGGTTCAACAGAAATCCAATGAAAATCCAAGTAAGGCTTTTTTTGGTAGAAAATAGCGAGCTGATTCCAAAATTTGCCTGGGCTTTACCTTGCACTATATCCAAAAGTTAGCTCAAAATAGACAACAGGCATAATATCACACCTAAAATTATAACATCTTCTAGAATGAAAAAAGAAAAATCTTTGTAAACTTTTGTTAAGCAAAATGAGGTGTAAAATGGTATAATAATTTGGGGGAGCAAAATAAGCAGTTTATTATTAGGTTAAAAATACCCTTATCACACAAGCCAGATAGATACTCCTTTTCTAAGTATTTTCCTCCACAAAATGAAAACGTATCCATAAAACTAAACTGCAAATGAATGACACAAGATTTACCTGTACAGTGTCGTGGCACTATGGGACTGGCAAGGTAGTGGCATAGAGCTCAGGCAAACTTCTCAAACGTCCCTGTGCTTCAGTCCCTAGAGGGAACTCAGCTACAGGCCATGCCCGATGAGGTTGAGGTTTGGAATGGGCCCTGGATACTGGCATTTTAAAAACTCTTCCCAGGTGGCCGGGCATAGTGGCTTTTGTAATCCCAGCACTTTGGGAGGCTGAAGTGGGAGGATGGCTGGAGGCCAGGAGTTTGAGGCCAGCCTGAGCAACATAGCAAGAGCTCGTCTCAATAAATAAGTAACTATTCTTCCAAGGCGATTTTGCTGTGCTGCTGGGTTTAAAGCTCTAGCAGGACAAGACAGTCATTGTTTCTAGTATACACGTGAACACATTGCAGGAGGGAATATCATATACAAATTACCGCTTAAAAACATTCAGGAAGAAACATACAAAGGAGCAAAGAATTACATATTCAACACATGTTTTGTGCTCTAGAAGAAATTAAACAGAACATAGAATCAAACAAAAATTAAAGATAAAATAGGTCAAAAGGGAAATTGGAGAGTACAAGTCAGTGTCAGCGAGGGAAGACTGGAAATACCAACAAAGAGGAAAAAGACAAAAAGATTAAAGACACTGAAAGGAAAAGATATGGAGAACAGACAAGATACAAAATAAAGCAAAACATAACATTTCTCTCAAGTTTGAAACATGTGACAGGAAAGTGTTAATTTAGAGAAGTAAAATTCAACAGAAAATTAAAAGGCATGAAAATGGCTAATTAACATGTGGAAGGATTCTGTGTAAATTTAGGAAAATGAAAACAACATTCAGTTGGTGCAAAAGTAATTGTGGTTTTTGCCATTAATACCTCTTTGCAGATCACATCGTCAAAAATTGAAAAGATTGATGTGTGGGCAAAGATGTAAAACTAGAAACTTGAATATAATGTTGAATAAAACTATCATTTTCAAATTCAAATACCACTTTACTTCAGCACATTTATCTTACATATACACTCGCAACTAGGAAAGGAATATGTACAAGTAAAGTCACTGTGTCATTTTTCGTCATTGTAAAAACCAGAAAAAAGTCTAAATTTTTGTTTGTAGAGGATTAGTTTAAAATCATGGAATATCTATATAATGAAAAAGGTAGGTGTTCATTGGAAAATACAGTAGCCGTCTATATTGATAGGGCAAGATCTTCAAGATTACTCAAGTGACACAACAGATATTTAACAATACCTATGAATGCATACCCTCCTGTTAGGGAACCAGGAGCCTAGGAGAGTCAGGGTGACACCACTTTAAAATCAACTCCGTCTTAAACCTAATGAGGCACATTCCTTGCCAGTTACCACCTGTATTTGCCTCTTCTCACGCTGTTAATAAAGACGTACCCTAGACTGGGTAATTTATAAAAGAAAGAGGTTTAATTGACTCCTAGTTCCGCAGGGATGGGGAGGCCTCAGAAAACGTAGAATCACGGCAGAAGGGGAAGCAAACACGTCCTTCTGCACATGGTGGCAGCAAGGAGAAGCACAGCAAAGAGAAGTGTGAAGTGGGGGAAAACCTCTTATGAAGCCATCAGATCTCGTGAGAACTCACTCATTATCACGAGAACAGCATGGAGGTAACTGCCTCCATGATTCGATTACCTCCCACTGGGTCCCTCCCATGACACATGGTGATTATGCGAACTACAGTTCAAGATGAGATTTGGGTGGGGATACATGGGTGAGACACAGCCAAACCATGTCACCACCCATGGTCATAGGATGTTAATGGCTGAGAAAAACGCCTGCAAGGACAAACTCTTATGACAGCAAAATGTCCCAATGTCCCAATATCACATAACAATATATGCTTTTAAAGATAATTATAGTCATGCTGTGGTGTGCTTGTGCACTAAAATGCCAAGGACAGCTTTCTTTAAACCAACAAGGAATAAATTTTGTCACACTGTCAGCCCACCGACATGTAGACATAATGTAGCTTAGCTTTTACATAGATAATATCCCTATATAAGAGAAACTTAAGAAAAAGATGAGAGGATCCTCCTCTTGCTTTCTGAGGATGCCCTACTTTGTATCTGGGTAGGTTTCAGTAAACCCTCTCTTCTCACTGCACTCTGCGACTCACCTTGAATTCTTTCCTGCACAAGATCCAAGAACCTTTATTTGGGGTCTGGATTGGAACCCCTTTTCCTGACAACACTCCTCTTACACTTGAAATTTTAATCATATGCCTGTATTTCATCTTTTTTATATGTTAAAAATTTATATGTTTTCTATGAAAAAGAGTTGGAATTTTTTTAAGTTTTAGCTTTTTATAGAGAAAATTATTAACTAGAAAATTAGACTATCAGAGAGACTTATAGTTTCACCTAGCTAAGATTTCATTCTCAAACATGGGCCATTACTTTTACTGGAATTAAGAAATTATATAATTATATTGGAACTAGTGTTGAATAATTTTATTTTTGTTCACATAAAGAAACATGAATAAATATACAATAACTATAATTGAAATCTGAAACAAGTACTAAAATTATGTGCACAGCATTCATTTTGCTACTATGCTGCAAACAGAATAGTTTCCTCTCATAGCACCTGCAGTGAAGGTCTCAAAGGAGTCTTGCATGGAAGGGCATTGAAGGGGACATGAAATTTTAACTAATACCACGAGCTCACATGCTTCAAACCCAAACTTGCTTATAACTAACCAATGTCACTACTTAGAGAACAATATTATAGGCTTTTAGTATTGTGATATAGTTTTCCCTTAAATTATGTTTTGTTATCTGAAATCCCAATTAATGGTTTTAGGGTTTTTTAAAATTTTTGTAAGACAGGGTCTCGAACTCCTGGGCTCAAGTGATCCTCCCACCTCAGCCTCCCAAAGTGCTGGGATTACAGGTGTGAGCCACCGCACCTGGCTAACGTTTGCTGTGGACACCGTACGACTTGTTAGCATAATCATAAGAAGACCCTAAAAATACATATTTTAGCTGCTCCCAGAGTCTCTCTGTGTTTCTATAGGACAGTGGGAAACTGATGTAAATAATTAAGAAGCAAATTAATTATTTGTCAATTATGTACCCATCCTGTCTTAAATGCAAAGCAGAGGCAGCCAGTTGCCAATTACTTTTACAAGCTTCATTCTTAAGTTGAATTAGGAAAGACTAAGATGTAACCAGATGTATGTATTATCAAGTGACGAAAGTTATCTACTTTTTAAAATACTTTTTGATTTAGTCCTCCTAATTTTCCTATGATTGCAACTCCCAGAAAGAATCATAACGTAAAACCTACACCTAAGAAAATTCTGTTCTGATGCAGAGGAAATTCATCTACTTGCAAAAGCACAGTGCAGGATTGCAGTTCAGATGTCAAGTTAACCTGATGAGTGATTGGAAAACACACACACACACACACACAAACACACACACACACACACACACACACACACACACACACACGTTAGCTTTGTAAATTAAAAATCTGGAGCAAGCCACAGAACATGGTCTGTTTCAGAGGGGAGTGTCTTTGTTCTGCATAGCTGCTGTCCTGATGGTGTGGGCACCTCTAAGTGGTCTCTCCATTGTGCTGGACCTGGTTGCTGTGACTAACAATGGGTGGCTCTACTGGTCTGAAATCTAATGAGCATGTTAGTCACCTGCATGCCTGCTCTTATTTAAAAGAGCCAGTTCACCTCCTTTTTTACATAGTCAATTTAGATCCTCTCAGAGAAATCCCAGAATGTTCAGTTGACACATTAGTGCTGAATGAAAACTAGCTGCAATTTCCAACTTGCAGATGGTGGTGAGTACCAAAGGTAATAACAATGAATTTGTCATTCAGCCACAAGGGATTGATGCAGCCAATTGAGGCTACACTCTGCCCATAAGATTCTGCTCAGGTTTTTCACTCCATCGTGACAGGGGGAGATCACCGGAAGGGATGATTTCTTCCACTTATATCACATAGAACCCCTGCAAACGGGTTTTCACTCCACAAATACTTGTGATGGATTTTGTCATGTTCCAGACACTGCTTGACAACCTCTACAACGATTAACTCAGCTAACCCTCCGACAACACTTACTGATGAGTTCTATTACTCCGATCACTTACACATGAAGAAAGCTGGATGCTAAGTCACTTGTCCAAGGTTACACAGCTAGTGAATGGCACAGCTGGGATGTGAACACAAGCACTATGGCTTCAGAATCCAGGTTCACCCTGACTTTACTACACCACTCCTGTGCTCCAGATAGAGCTGGGTTTCCAATCTCCGCATCATTGACATTTAGGGATAAGTAATTGTTTGTTGTTGGAGGCTATTGTATACATTGCAGTGTCCCTGGCCTCTACCCACTAGGTCCCTGGAGCAATCCTCCCTCCCCTGAGCTGTGAAAACCAAAAATGTCTTCGGATACTGCCAAATATCTCTTTGGGGACAAAATCATCTCGTTGAGATATCATTCTCTGTGTCTATCATAGAAACAGAATGACTGAAAAGAAGAAATAATAGAAAAACGTGGGATTACTAAAAACAGTCGTAGTATGTCCGTCTCTGTACATTTTGAGATAGAATTATTAGGAAATATCTCAAAACAGTCCTTTTTCTTGAGACGGAGTGTCTGTCTGTTGCCTAGACTGGAGAGCAATTGTGCCATCTCGGCTCACTGAAACATCTGCCTCCTGGGTCCAAGCGATTCTCGTGCCTCAGCCTCCCGAGTCGCTGGTATTACAGGCGCCCACCACCACGCCTGGCTAACTTTTTGTATTTTTTAGCAGAGATGGGGTTTCGCCAGGTTGGCCAGGCTGGTCTTGAACTCCTGACCTCAGGTGCTCCACCTGCCTCGGCCTCCCAAAGTGCTGGGATTACACGCCCAGCCTCGAAATAGTCCTTCTTTTGGCTTTTATGTTATCTCTCCTTCCTAGCGTTTTTCTAATTTTTTTTTTTTTTTTTTTTGGCTCAGGCAGCTAGGAAGTACAGAGCTCTATTTTCACCTGAAGCCACAAGTATTTGAGGAATTCGTAGGTGCTCAATATTGTTAGATACCGCATATGCACAGAAATATAGGAAGTTACACGAATTTCAGCCTAGTTGAAGAAAAGCATCGACAGGGAAATGAGAATCAGTCACGCAGCCAGAACATACGTAAATGTTACCTTATGCGGCCTGTGGGAATGAAGCACGACACGACCGGTGGGGGCGGTAGTGAGCAGGGCCGGCCCTGCTGAGAAGGTCGGTGAGCCGAGTCCTGAGAGGAAAAGGCAAAGGCGAAGTGACATCCGGCCAAGCTCGCCATGTTGAGAAGGTAACAGTGAAGGTAGCAGTGAAGGCCCCGCCCAGCTGGGATGGAAGACGCACGTTGGAAGGAACGCGACCCACGGTCGGAAGCAGGCACCGATGAGCGCCGAAGGCTCGTGGACAAGAACAGAAAGCGCCCTCGCTTCGGCAGCACGTGTCCTGAAATCGAAACGGTACGGGGAAGGTTAGCAGGGCCCCTGCGCAAGGATGGCACGCAAATTCCTGAAGTGTTCCAAATAAATAAATGAATGAGTCAGAACAGGAAGTGGTTCTGGGCGTTTCAGGAATAATGACGAGCTGCCGGGAACGAGGGCTGTGCAGGGGTTCATGGTGGGTTCCGGAAGTTGTTACTAATGTGCTCTATGGTGAGAAGACAGAGATCGAGGTGCTGGCAGTGAAATGGAAAGTAAGGGGTGATTAAGGGAAAAGATTTGAAATTGAAGAATTGACAGGGAAAATAAGAACAAATGTGGTAGGCTGCTTCTCAGTGAGCTCCCAGTAACCCCTTTCTCCTGGGAGCCACCCTCCTGTGGGAGCTCTCCCCGCCCCGCAGTGTGGGCTAGACCTAGTGACTCATTTCTGATGAACAGAATATGGCAGAGTAAGGGGTCACTCTTACAAAAGAATGTGACTTCCATCTTGGGTGTTAGTAACCTCTGGGGAGACCCACATGACAATGAAATGATGTTCCTGGACCAGTCAGAGAGGACCAGAGAACTGTCAGCAATCCCATGAGTGAGGCTGGACGTGAATGTGTCCCCCAATCCCCCACGTTCAGCTGTGAGATGACCACAGCCCTGGCCACAGCCTTGACTGCAGCCTTATGGAGAACCTGGGCCAGAGGATGCTGCTAGGCCACGCCTGGACTCCTGAGCCACAGGAACTGTGAATGGACCAAAGTGTGCTGTTTGAATCCACTAAATCCAGGGGGCATTACTTACACAGCAATGGAGAAAAAGTACAAGCTTACAAGATGAAAAATAACTTTCATCTCAAATATAGGACACAGTTTATTCAGCGTACATATTTAGGTATATGATTTTTCTGAAAATTAACCAAAGGGGGAATGAATAAAGAAATGGAAACATCAAAGCAAGGAAAGGAAGAGAGCCCACAGCTAACAGAGAAAATGTTGTTGCGCTTTAAGTACAGAAGACAGGGATCTCTCTTCATGGGTAATGGCCCCCCCGTGTTAGCCATCTACTTGCTGTCTCCAGCATTATGCAGCGACATGTAACTGGACTGTGTTCAGAAAATTAAAATGACGTATTCAAGGTAAATATCTAGGAACATTGCAGCCCTTAGGAAGTAGAAGAATATTCTATCTCCTGTCTACAATCTCCATATTTTCTAACAGACAGATAATGCAACTCATTCTGCTATGCATCAGCTAGTTAACTAGCAATGCCTTTTCCTCTGCTGATGAGTACAGGAGTTCTTTGAAAGAATTGCTTGTTTCAAAGAGGTCGAAGTGCAGAGTACAATGGTGGTTGCCAGGGGTTGGAGGCATGGGGCATGGGGAGAGGTTGGTCAAAGGATACATAGATAAGATGAGTGCGTTCTGAAGATCTATGTACAAGACGATGCTGTCAATAAGAATGGATTACTGTATACTTGAAACTGTTAAGAGAGAAATGCTCTCACCACAAGAAAAACAAATAACTATGTAGGTGATGGATATGTTTAATAACTTTGACTGTGGTAACGGTTTGACAGTGCATGCATATATCAAAACTTCCCATTGTGCACTGTAAATATACACAATCTTTACTTACACCTCGAAAAAGCTAGGGTGGGAGAAGGAAACACTATTATAAATCACAGCACACTTGAAGGAAAGAGGAACGGACACCTATTTCAACATGTACGATCATAACAGGAAGAAGAATGTGAGTTCCATGAAGGCAGGCATTTGCTTTGTTCTCGTCATAGTCCCAGGCCCTGGCGCATGTTAGATGGTCCCTAGTGATGAGGTGAGTATAATTAATAATGGAGACGAATACTCAGGGTCCTTAAACATATGCGCAAAGCAAATACACTTTATCCTCTATGCAATTCTATATTAATTAGCACTCTTAGTTTATAAGCTTACTAACCACGTGTTGATGAGTGATTCTGTTACTCAAACTTTCAAGCCCATTGCCAGAAACCAAAGCTATCGGTCAGTGTGTTAGTGATCCCCAGGGAAACAGGAGCAATGGGATACGCGTGGTGGATAATTTCACATGTCAGCTTGGCTAGACCAGGATGCTCAGATATTTGGTGAAATGTTATTCTGTATATTCCTGTGAGGATATTTTTGGATGAGACTGACATTTCAATGGATGAACATTGAGTAAAGCAGACTTCCCTCCGTAATGTGGAGGGGGGAGGGGGCTCATCCGAGCAGCTGAAGGCCTGAATGAAACAAAGGCTGATATCCCCCAAACAAGACATGCTTCTGTAGCAGACGGCTGCTGGCTTTAACTGCAGCAGTGCCTCTTTCTTGGTCTCCAGCCTGCTGGTCCATTCTGCAGATGCTGGACTTGGCTATAGCCTCCACAATCTTGTGAGCAAACTCCTCAAAATAAATCTCTCTCTCCCCCCACCTCCCCCTCCACATTGTATTGGTTCTGTTTTTCTGGAGAGAGCCTTAACACAATGTGGATGTGTGTGCAGGTGCATATGCACATATAGAGGTTTTTTTATTTTTTATTTTTTAATACCTTTTTTTTTTTTAGAGATGGGGGTCTCACTATGTTGTCCAGACTGGTCTCAGATGGGCTCAAGCAATCCTCCCGCTATGGTTTCCCAAAGTGCTGAGATTACACACATAAGCCACTGTGCCCAGGCTAAAGAGATATATTTTAAGGGAAGATCTGATTCTGCACTTCAAGTCTGAAGGCCACCTGCTGACAGGCTCCCCTTTTCTCAGAGGGTGTTCCATTTTCTGTTAAGACCTTCTTCCACTGACTGGATGAAGGCTGCCCACACAACGGAGGGGACTTGGCTTCCTCAAAGCCTAATGATGTAAATGTTAGTCTCATTTTTAAAATATCCTCACAGAAACATCTGGAATAATGTCTGACCAAATATCTGGGTACAGTGATCCGGCCAAGTTGAGACATAAAATTAACCACCATGGCCTACACTTTTATCTTTTTGGCTGCAATTCTGTCAAAGACTTCTGCTCTTCATAACATCTCACTCACTAGCTCCACGAAGCCATATGATACAAACCTGGCCTGTGTAGCCTTCAGTTTTTTTCCGAAAGAAGTCTATTAAACGCTAATCAAGTATCTTCTCCTCCAAGCTCAGTAGCTTGGGCCTTCAGCAGCTGTTCCCCATTCCTATCCATCTCCCTGAGCTACCCTGGCATTCTTATCAGGACACTGGAGGAATCTGTCTATGTGCCTCTAAAGATTCAGCACCCACACATGATAGAAATCACTGTGTTCACACCGTATCTATATATCTGCCCATCCTTTTAAATCATTCCAATAAAGCAGATTAGAAGCAGTAATAGGATTCAGCTGCTTGCTTTATACTGTTGATGGTTCCAGTTTAAGGACCATCAATGGTATAAAGAAGGCAGCTGAGTCCTATTACTCAGCTGCTGAGTATAAAGAAGGGAAACTAGTTTGAGGATGCTAGATGTCCAGCTAACATCCTCAAACCATTTTCCTTTAACTTCTAACCAAAATGCCAAGCAAATCGGGGTGGGGGGGCAAGGTTAACATTAACAACATGAGACAGACCACCTAATGTCAGACTGTGCATGGTGTTGGCGATAATAATAACAAAGATGAAGATTGACTGAGAAAAATCTTGGCCAGAATTCAGCACATCCTACCTAAGGCTACTCCATCAGAAACAGACCACTTGGAAAAGCTGAAAGTGTTTGTTTTCTGAAACTGAAGTACCTGTAGCAACTGGTCCAAGGTTCTGGAGAATAGAATTAATAGAAGGAATCAAACTTATGCTATTTTAGAAGGTTTTTTTAAGAACTCCATAGTGTGACCAGGCGCAGCGGCTCACTCCTGTAATCCCAGCATTTTGGGAAGGCGAGGCGGGAGGATCACGGGGTCAGGAGTTCGAGACCAGCCTGGCCAATATGGTGAAACCCTGTCTCTACTAAAAGTACAAAAATTAGCCAGGCATGGTGGCGTGTGCCTCTAGTCCCAGCTACTTGGGAGGCTGAGGCAGGAGAATCGCTTGAACTCGGGAGGCGGAGGTTGCAGTGAGCCGAGATCGCACCACTGCACTCTAGCCTGGGAGACAGAGGGAGACTCCCCATCCCCCCAAAAAGGAACCCCATAGTCCAATTATATGTATCCAGGACCCTATCCAGAAATGAGAGGAAGAAGTGCCTGCCCACTGGGAGTGTCAGCAGAGGGCGTTTGCTTCATTCTACTCTCAAAGACCCTCACATCTAACCTGCTCCCCCTGACATCCAGGCCTTTTCATCTGAGGTCAAAGTGCTATTGCCATGCAGCTTAGGCTTGCATGCAGTAATGACTTGCTTATACATTTTTGTAAGTGTGCACATAGGTCTAATTAATGGTTTTCCTGTGGACAGGTGATAGACCTGTGCAGATTCTTTGGGTCATTTTTGTTTGGTTCATAGTTCATTCTGCAGCATTCTAAACTCTTGCCAAGCTGCAGTGAGCAGGTTCTCTATTTGCCTTCTATCTGCTAATCATCTTTCAGTGCTGTCTATCTCTTGTAGGATAGCACAGGATAACTTCCCTCAGCCAGTTGAAGCACCCTCTACACTTATGCATAAATCAGCTAATATCAGCCAGGTGTAGTGGTGTGCACCAGTAGTCCTAGCTATTTTAAAGGCTGAGACAGGAGGATTGTTTCAGCCCAAGAAGTCAAGTCTTCAATGAGCTATGATTATTGCACTGCATTCTAACCTGGGCAACAGGATGAGACCCCATCTCTTTAAAAATGTCAGCTGTATGTCTGTGTCCCCTTCCTCAATCCATGTCCCTATTATTGTTCTTTCCACACCAATTCTATTCCTGTCTTCCCTCCATCAGCCTCAAATTTTTAGAGCTTGCACAGACCAAATAGTAGAGTTATCTCTCTCTACTGTATTGCTATAGGAAAATGACAGAGGGTGGTTTCTTTCTCCCATTTCCAGTCCCATCTTTTCAGCACCTAGACAGCA